TGTATTTTAATTCTGGAGGGTTCTGGAGTTTGTCTTTGTTTATTTTTTGTGTTTGTTTATTAATGTAATAAAAATACTTGCTAAATTATAAGTCCATTGTGTTACTTCCTCCTGGCTTTATCTGTCTTTTTTTCTGAAGTTCTTCCTCCAAGAGTAATATCAAAAGTTGTCTTTGCATGATATATTTTCTTAGGTTCAATTACCACAGGCTTATAAAACAAAGACATTTCACTTTCATAGATAAATTTTAACTTATTTTAAAAAAATATATACTCAAAGTTATTTCCTATACAATTCCTTAATATAGTTGGGAGTAACTATTTCTTAATATCATAGATTAAGTTAACACATACTTCATTCTGAGATACACCAATGTATATCCCATTCAGTTGTCTGACATTGAATGGGATATACATTGTCAGTTTCACTCTGTCAGTTGTTAGAGTAGTATAGTGAGATGTGAGGTTACTCCATTACAGTAATTCAAGATGTCAATGATCACTTTCAATCATCATTCCTTCCCTTACAGCTATCCCCGTCTTTATGTACAGAGGATAATCTCCAGATTACAGATAACTAAATTATACCATGCTGTGCAATATGTAATAATAAACAAATTAAGAAAACTGAAAGACCCATTTTAGATAAAATTCATTTCTCATTTGGCTAAGATATGGCTTCAATAAAAATTTTCCCCCACTACCAGAAGTGAGTCTATACACAAAACAGAAAGAAACAAGGCAAATCTTTTTAGGTGGATGAGGGCTGTTAATAGGGAAGGAGCCTTGCTCCTCAAACCTGATCATTTTCATTACATCCTAGAAAACAACATGCCTAAAGTGGTAAAATTAAAAAAAAAAAAAGAGACTGCCTAAATATCTCCATAAAAGTGCAAGGATACATGTATTTTCTCCTGGAAATGAGACCTGAAACAGAGAAAATAGGGGAAGGAATGTAGGGGCTGGAAGAATAAGAAGCTGGTTTGGCACCTTCAAGAAGAAGCATATTGACAGAGACTACATCCTGTATCACTGGTATTTTGGTGACCACACCTCACCTGCTTCTCTAGAATCTCCTATGGCAAACTGTGAGGCAGGTAGCACTCTGGGTACCCATGTGGGCCACATGTCAGATTCAATGCACAGTTTTGATCAATGGTGGACAATATTTATAAAGTTATCCCAAAAGAATATAATGGAGCTGAATTTTTTCTACAATTTAGTGATGTCATAGTCATGGTAGTGTCATAGCAGGAAGCATTTCTCACATGTCTATGGTGATGCTGGTGTAAACAAACTTACTACACTTCCAGTTGTATAAAAGTATAACACACATAACTCTGTAAAGTATGAAATACTTAATAGCTATGTCACTGATTTATGTATTTACTATACTATCCTTTATGTCATAATTTTAGAGTATATTTCTTTTACTTATAAAAAGTCTATTGTAAAGTAATATGATGTGTTACACTGGTAGTAGCTTCAAATATCTCATTTCAGACACATCTCTTGATTGCATCAAAGAAGCCACACCAAGTAACTGGCCTATACTATCTAAGGTCATGTAAGTATACTCCTTTATGCTTGAAAATGACAAAATTGCTTTAGGAACACATTTCTCAGAATAAATTTCCCTCATTAAGCTGCATAAGACTGTATTAGATTGCAGAGACTGGATTTGAGCATATACCTATATGAACCATAAGCCTATTCTCTGGGCTATAGTATCCTTTCCTTTAAAAATACTGGCTTTATTTTAGTTTTTAAAACACCATTTACAATAATAATTTTGACTGATCTCAGTAACTGATTTTGTTATTCATAAACTGGATTTATTTAAATGTTTAACCTATTGTTTTTCTAACTTCGATTCATTTCTCATTTGGCTAAGATATGGCTTCAATAAAAATTTTCAAAGGCACATATAGAATTTGTTGAGACCTAGACATAAGTAACAATGTCACGTTAGCAAATGGAAACTTGTTCAATGCAAAATTCTTGAATCATAAAATTTTATGTTCAAACTTTGTAGAAATTGTCTTTTCCAGAAACACGTTAAAGAATGAGCAGGGGACTAGCCCCTGCCACACATGCAGGAATCACTGGCAAGACTCCTTAGGTGGATAGAATAATCGGCCCTTCCAAAGATATCCCAATTTCTGAATCTGTGAGCACATTACCTTACATGGCAAAATGAACATTGCAGATGTGATTAAGTTAAGGATCTTGAGATGCAGAGATAATCTGCATTATCCATGTGAGCTTAATGCAATCCTAAGAATGCATATAAATGAAAGAAGGATTCAGGAAGAAAGGAATCAAGAGAAGAATATAGGAACAAGGATCAGAATGATACAGGGCTATCATCCAAGGAATGTGGGCTAGAATTTGGAAAGGCAAAGGAATGGAGTCTCCTGTAGAGGCCCCAAAAGAAATATAACCGTGTCAATCAAGTTTGGAAATCTTTCTCCAAAACTGTATCATAATAAATTTGTGTTGTTTTGGATACTAAGTTTGCAGCAATTTGTTATAACAGCAATAGGAAAAGCAAAATACACTTCCTATTAATGAGCTAACCACAACATATCACATAATGGCCAAAATATGCAGAGGTTGCTTGGCTAAAATACAGAGTCCTTCCCTCCTTCATTCATAAGGTACCTCAATCCATCCCAGTCTGGGATTAGGTCACACTATTCCATCACATTTCATTGCTCTTAAATACTATTTCTAAAACTCTAGGCTATTTTACTCTATTTCCATAAAAATCCTCCAAACCCTCTGATTGCTTTTTCATTTTCCTTTAGTCAGACGTACTTCTTCCTGCCCTTAAGCTAGCAATTTATCACTTGAAGCTGGGAGATATTAAACCCAAATACCATTAAGTTTAGTTTGCTTTCTACCTGTACTCTGTAGTCAACCAGGAATCTATGTAATATCCAGGATATGTAAACAACCTTCAGCTCACCATGATGCTTGGCATATTCCTCCAGTCAGTCCTGTCTAAAGCAATACAGCTAAGGTTGATACACCTGCTCCAGCTTTAAAACAGCAGCTGCTTAGATACTGCAGTTCTTCAAGTTTAAAGGGAGGATGGTTCCCATACATGGCTACCTATACTGCATGACCGTGCCCAGCAAAAGTACTGTTTTGAGCTTCCAAATGCAAAACACTAGATTTGATCATTTTAGTCTGTATAAAAACTGTAAAAAGGCAAAATAAGGACTAATTTTGCTGTCAGGTACATGCTTACTTCACAACATAGGTCATATACAGAGACAGGCCTCACTGGTGCCAACTATCTTCTAAAACCTGGTACTGTGAATATTAGGGGCTTATTTGGTCTTCCCTGTTTACAAGCCTCCATCAGGCCTAGCTCTATTCATTTATCAGGTTTCAGGAACTTTGAATATCAAAGAAGTTTAAGATTTCTTTCCTTTGCATCTCAGGAACAATCAAGCTCCTTATGCAAATTGCCCAATTCTTTCTCTACAAATATCAACCTCCATATATGGAATTTTAAAATTATTTAAAACTATTTTTGTTCACTCTATCTCTAATGTAATGCTTTTAGGAGTACACTGACTAGGATAGCATCTTTGTTTTTAACATCCCAAAATAAAAGAGTCTGATCAATGGTCTCTCACTGATGACCCTGATACATATGCATATGCACTGTCAGGATGATCTTCCAAGAAGGTTCCTTAAGT